TCTACAGCTGTTATTGTTGGTGGAATAGATATGATGTCACAAGCACTCATGTTGTCCAAGAAGCCACATATTATTATAGGTAAGTACATGTAAAAGCTATAAAGAGCAATTTTTGTGTGTGTAAAATTGAACTATATGACCATTAGTATCCTGCTAGCACAAAAACTACAAGGCATATTTTCTTTCTGCATGAACTATGTGCCAAGGCACATTTTCCTTCTCTTAACATAGACACTGGCTTGAACTTTTGTCTGAAGATGTTAGTTTTGCAGTGCAAGCTATAACAAGTATTGAATTATCTTGAGTGTGTTAGAGTTGCTGTTTATCAATCATTCAATGGATAATCAATGGATGTATATGAATTTTATAAATTACAGCATCACCAGGAAGGCTCATAGATCACTTGGAAAACACAAAAGGATTCAATTTAAGAACATTAAAATATTTGGTGGGTAAATGTTGTTTTCTGGCAGTAACCTCTATTTATCAATACATGCTGACCTGTTTTTGCATGATGCCTTTAAGGTAACTCCCCAAATTTTTTACTGTTCCCTCTGATTTTTCCTGGCAACCTTGGTCCCCGTTGCCACCGTTGCCACCCCTGCCACTCTTGCCACCCTAGCCACCTTTACCACCCTAGCTGCTCTTGCCACCCTTGCCACCCCTGTCAGCCTCTCCACCCTCGCCACCCGTTTCACTCTCACCACCCTGGCCACCCTAATTCGCCACTTTCACCACTCTGGCCACTCCCACAACCCTCACCCCTCACCCCTCACCACCCACACCACCCTTGCTACCCTAATTTGTGGAAAATCATGCAATTTTAAACAACATCAACTCAAAATGTTACTTGGATCATTGTTTTTAAGATCATAGTTTATTTAACATCCTCAAGTAATAGTTTTGTGTGTGCTTTTAGCTATTAAATAAATATCTTTTCTATCAGTAAAACTTTTGTTCAATTTTCTAACTTAGAGAGGAAAATTTGTACACTAAAATTATGCAATAAAAATATTGGTCGCTGTGCTTGGTTAAGAGAAAATGAGCATTTATTTCTCTATCCCTGGTATGCGCAACGGCATGTTAATGACATTGCAAATGTTTGCACAAGGGATACTCAATGCAATTCAGTGGAATCACCTTGAAGAGAAATTAACAAGACAAAAGCGGGAAGCAATAAAAATGTTCATAGTATCTATGTTACAAATTAAATTAAAAAGTCACCTTCTATATTTTTATTATTCTGTTTCTGTATAGATTATGGATGAAGCTGATAGAATCTTAAATCTTGATTTTGAAAAAGAGGTGAGTTTTGTCAGCTTTTAATGCTCTGACAATTTTATTGCTTTTTCTTTGATTGAGCATTTTGCATATTAAGCCTTCAGGAAACAACCTTTTCATTCATGGCAGTCTGGTATTTGCCTGTAGTAAAATGATGGTACTTGATATGTTATGTAACCAAGGATTTTCTTTTATTGATTCTGTGATATGTTTTCTGTGGAAATGGTGGGTAAATTGGTCAGTTCACTTCAAACATTGCTGTAATTATACAGTTTTGGAGCCATTCTTGAATCAGTGTTAGTATTTTTCTTTCAAAAGAATCATATTTTTTCTTTTTGTGTACACCAACAACAACGACAACTTTTATTATTATGACTCACATATGACTTGTACAATTTTACAGAAATATATACACATTAAGTTAAAAAAGCTTGACAATAGCAACAGCACGAACCCACAGGCAGCCTGGGCTAATCTAGGTGGGCCACATATATATTTAATATTAGACTATTAATACAGAAATAAGATTGTTATGCAACTACTTATAGAAGGATTTCCAAAACTGTTTAATGCAAGTACATTTACATATTTTTATTGGTACTTGGAGCTATGATTTACTAGCTATGATTTACTGTAAAAAATCACTTCTTTATTAATATGTACTTTCACTTTTGCTGAACTACAGGTTGACAAGATATTAAAGATCATTCCCAAAGAAAGGAAAACTTATCTGTACTCGGCAACTATGACCAAAAAGGTGACATTTCTTTGTAGAATTTAGCATTGTGACCCGAAAGCTCTGTGTTAAATGTAATTTGTTTTGGGCCATATTAGAGCGACTATAATCCTTTTGGAATATCATGATCTGCATATCTCACCTCCAGAATGGTTGTCTTAAGTGCAGTAGAATAGTGAGCAGTTCTGAAAAATGTTATGGGTAACCAGTAGAATTTTGTTGTTGCAGATCAAAGGAATGTGAAAGCATGAATAAAGTAATTTATGCTTTCTCCCACTGTCACATTGAAGTACTATGAACTTAATAAAGAAACAAAAAAGAATGCCAATGACATCATTTATTTGTCTCTCCTCCAACAGCTCATAAAAAAGAACCAACCAAAATGCAAGAATAATTTGACTTATTATATCAATGTGAATACATGTAGTTACTATGAAGTAGTTTGAGACTTTCACCTTGCACTGTAACAATAACTTACAGACTGTGTTTGCAAGATGTTCAGTATATAGGATATTCCATCAATGTCTCTTTTTGAATGTTTTGTTTTCACAGGTAGAAAAACTTCAAAGAGCATCTTTACAAAATCCGGTTAAAGTTGAGGTTGCAACAAAGTGAGTTTTTTGACATTGTTTTTGTGCATGTAGTGAACATTCCATAGATGTACACCTGTAATAAAAACATCTCTGACTGATATTTTCTTGTGCCAGGTATACAACAGTTGATAAGTTACAACAGAGTTATCTATTTATCCCAAACAAATTTAAGGTAAGGAATGAATCTTTCCTTATTTCTGTAATATATAGGTTTAGGCAAGCTGTATACTTTGTCTTGACATGTGTCAACTGACCATAACACGGATGTCCAATATCAAAGAGGTACACTATAAACCAAGGCTGCATGTCTTGGTCAACCTATTGGGGTATGACCGCCATGTTGTGCGACTTCGTCGCTGTCATGGGTACATGCCCCCGAGCAATACTGCTAGCCATGATGACCGGGAGAAAAGCAATTCATGGGTTCCTATGAGTATGGTGCTCTGCATGGCGGTCCTTCTGCAGCCTTCGGGCGGCTAGAGCTCCGCAATTATGGCAATGTGTTGATAGAAAGTGAGTCTGTGCAAAAAAATAAATGTACCATGAAGCATCTGTTTGGTGGAAATTAATGAAATTCAAGAAAATGCAGTGGCTTAAGCTATCTACAGTGTATCTCAATTTTTTTTAATCATCAATTTGATGAACCTTCTGATAACCTGAATGAAGGTCAATCCCCTTAGATTTGCTTCACTGTAATTTTACCCCAGATATATCAAATTACCAATCTCAGGGTTAAAACTTGGCAGTCGCACGGTCGCCCGTGGCAATTAAAAAGAGCCCAGGGCCATTAAGAATTGAGGTTTGATCGCCCGAAGGGCGACTACGATTTGAGAAGTACACAAAGGATAACAATAAAGATGAAATAAAATGCTCTTTCCTTGGAGTACCTTTCCTTTCTTTCTGTTCTTTCCTGAGCTCTAAGTTCATCAATCTGTAGTAAAAGTTAGTTCTAAAGCGCAAAATTTAAAGCCGTTCGTGATCGAGTTTTTAGATCGCTCCGATATGTAGACGCCATTTTGATTTTATTGACACGTGACTCCAGACTTACCCAGAGGTCTGTGCGGTACATTTGGAAACATGAATATCGGCAAACTGCTCGAGTTTGGAATACAAAATGTGGAAATACCTCTCTGGATGTGAACAGCCGCCACCGGAAAAAGCCAAAAGCAAGGACGATGTTCTGGAGAGTAACCGACTGTACGAGAAAATTTGAGGGCCACTTCATTTTGGCCCGGGCCACTAAGAGTTCAGGGATACTGGCCCGAGTGGCGACCAAGCACTGAAGTTAATTTTTAGCCCTGCATTTAAAAGTTAGCCGGTGTCAAGGAATCATCGCAACAGAATTTTTGATTGGCATTATTCTGCATTCAGGTAAACAGGACACTGAAGCGTAATGGCTACAGTGTTTTGTTTTCGAATTGTAACATAGTATTTTGTTTTCAATGGGGTTGACAACAAAAAGAAGAAAGAGAAACAAAGAAAACAAAGACGTTTTACAATAAAATTTGATCATGGGATTCTAAATAGCTTATAAAATTTTAATTTGAGACTGCTGAAATTTACCCTTAAAGAGTTAAGTGCAACATGTGAAAGGAGTAATTCCTTTTTGCACTTATTCAATGTTTGTAAGGGCATTTTCATACTTTTTCAAAGATGTATGACAGATAGTTTCAATTTATGTAATTTTTCTCTTTGAAGGTAAGGTTTAAGCAAAACTATGTATCTTTAAAGTACAAAATTAGCTTCTGGATTGTGCAATCTTTAGGAATTTGATGCTGCTGTTTCCATAGCAACCAGATTGAGAGCTTCACAAGCACTTACATATGAAAGTCAACTCTTAATAAACTAAAATGATGGTTAGCTTGTTGAAATTGGTCTTATAGTTTTTATTTTATGGGTATTTTTGTGATGCAGGGTGTTTTGGCCATTTTTTTGGCTAGCACTACTGAGGTACCCCCCTCAAAATCATGGCAATAAGAGGGTTAAAGGTCTTCCATAAACCGAAACCGAGCTACAGAACATCGTGGACAAGTCTATGTTATGGAAATATCGCAAGTTCAGCCAAATGTAGTGGTTATTAAAAAAAGCATTCTCTTCTAGAGGAATTGTTTTAGTGTTACTTATATACAGTGGAACCTTGATTTAACAAACCTCTATTTAACAAAGTCCTTGATATAACGAACGATATTCTATGTCCCGGCCAAAGTTGCAGTAAAATGTATGGAATAGAGCCTCGATATAACAAGTTCTTCAATATAACGAACATAATTAAAATTTACTTCGATATAATGAATTACAATGTCAACATGTGACAGAAGATAAACGCTGAACAGATCAACAGTCAACAAGTCCTTGTTATCCTTATGGTAAAGAGACAGCAACCTTTCAGTCAACGGCTTATTATATGTCATAGACATTGGCACTATAGTCCCGGGACTATAGTATTTCGACTTCAATTAACTTCTGCTATATCTTCTTTGAAATCCAAGAATGTTGGGTAGTGCAACATAACAACACTACAGCCTGTTTCCTTGTTTACATAGACAATTTTCTGTATAACCTCTATGTTGCAACATCTTTAAATCACTACTCTGAAAGTGTCGGCCTTCTTTTGTAAACAAAAGCTGTGCGTCTCCTCAAAAGTGAAAATAATTGATACTGAAAGCCACCATGCTTTTAATTGCATCTCAAAACGTGGCACCTCTGGGTGATGAAAATTGCATTGAATTGCGTGACAGAAGTCACCTGTGTTACAAATCAATCATTAACTATGACCTCGATATGATGAACATTTTGCTCATTTCCCCTCAAAATCGTTATACAGAGGTTTTCGATAAAACAAACCCTCGATTTAATGAACAAATTTGGCCAGTCCCCAGCGACTTCATTAAATCGAGGTTCCACTGTATTAGCTTAAACTTTTCAGCTGACTTAAGTGTTCTCAACAAATGAACAACAACAATTGGATGGCACAAAGAATGCTTATATCCAAGTCACTATTTTTCATGAACACGATCTTTGTCATTCACCTGTTTATTAGTATGCAGCATTATGGATATTAGCCTTAGGCGTGGGTCACACATTGAGACAAGTTTATTTTGATAACCTAAACCAAAAACTGTCACATTCCTGTCATCAGTAGACCACGCCAAGTGTGACCTACTTGTTCCTGTACAGACAAAAACTTATTATCCAGACAAATCTTCAAAGGAGCAAGAATACTGCCTCGGAACTGGACTTGCAATTTAACTGTCAGTGAAATTCAAGAAGCCTTCAAAATACACTCGCTTCTTTTCATTTCATTCTTCCTTGCAAGCTTTACNCTTCAAAGGAGCAAGAATCCTGCCTCGGAGCTGGACCTGCAATTTAACTGTCAGTCAAATTCAAGAAGCCTTCAAAATACGTTCGATTCTTTTCATTTCATTCTTCCTTGCAAGCTTTACAGTCGGTCACGCACGTCTAGTCATGAATTTTCAATCCAATTTTCCCGGTTTCTGGGATAGCGGCTCAGATTTTTTTGGCGAGCTCAAGAGGTACAGACCAGGGCAGTTGTTCTGGGGACGCTATCAGAACGATACACAACTACAGCAATTTTCACAAAATACCCTTGCACCAACAACGACAGTTTTGGTGGGCTTTCAGCATCCCAGCGAGGCCAGCACTTGCACAGCCCAGCACAAGCAGTTTCAAGCTGTTAATTCTATCTTCCCCAATTTCAGCATCGCCAGAGTCACCAGATACTCTTGCTACAGGCAAGGTTGAAAGTTCGGCAAAAGCAGGTAGGGGATACAGCAAGAGGAC